TTTTTTTTTTTTTTTTTTTTTGCTTACAAAAAATTACGGTGAAAATCTGGCATCTCTAATTATAAACAAAAAAAAAACTAAGAAAGACGAAATACTGAAAGTTGAAAACATTTATGTTTGTTGGCGTTATTAATTACACTAGATCAACAGTTTGTGTAATTTAGTTCTTATTATGTTTTCTAAAATGGATGTCGCACAAAAAAACGAACAGACAAATGATCAGCGATCACATGATATTAGACCAATCAAATGGTTTATTGTGCACAATAAATTACCTGCCGATCAAGAACTCACGTGACATTACTTCTGGAAGGACGAAGAGATTTAAAAAGCATAGGATACGTGAAACAATTAAAAGTCAAATATTGCTATAGATATAAAAAAAATTCGGTTTACTAAAGCCTACGAACAAGTATTTACGCGAGAAGGCTCCGACAATGTCGTTAGTAAAAATGGTCAGAATATTTTTTAGAATATTTGACTCTAGTTAGTAATTAATATTTTTCCTGATACACGATTTTTTGCCTGATACACAATTTATTATAACCATTTTTTAATTATAAAATCACATGATACCGGATAAAATGATGATATTTGTACGAAAATATTTAATCGGCAAATCAGGCTTAATAATTTCATAACATTTTCTTTAAAGATATATTTTAATTCTATTTTCATTAAGATTATTTGTATAAATTTATATTCTAATGTAAAAAAAAATTTCAAGTTCAGTGATTCTTTTAAAACTATTAAAACAATTAATAAAACTCTGCGTATAAAACCAAATTTATTCTAACATTAAAAGAAGTTATATTATTTTAATGATGCATTAAAAATTCGTTATTTGCAGAATTTTAATTTGTATATTCAATAAGCAAAATTCTATATCAGTTTCCAAATGAAATTAGTTAGTAACTAGGTGTAACCCGTCGCGTTGCGGCGGGAATGATACTTGCCCATCAAGTAAGAGAGTAATAAAGAGAGTAATAATAACACACGTCTCCCACTACTCCTCTTCATCTTCTCATCACTTCTTTACGCCTCCCATCGCTCCTCTTCGTCTCCCATCACCCTCCCATCACTCCTCTTCGTCTCCCATCACTTCTTTTTGTCTCTCATCACTTCTTTTCGTCTCCCATCACTCCTCTTCGTTTCCCATCACTACTTTTCATCTCTCATCATGTCCTATTTCTCCTTTTTGTTTCCTATCACTTCTCATTACTCTTTTTTTCTCTTTCATCTTCTATTACTTTCCATTACTCCATTGTTATTTCATTTTTTTTATTAGCATCTTTCTCCTTGGTCATTGTAATTTATTTACCTTTTTATTTATTGTTATTGTTTAAATACGGTGATTTTTTTCTTTAAAATCGTAAATGTGTGGCTTAAATTTTAATATTTGCAAATATAATTTCATTAAATAAGATTATTTTGAATAAATATGCAAAGAAATTTTTTTTAAAAATATCTTCGCAATAAAATTTTAAGTTTAACCGATCAAAATAGCTAAGTTAAAAAATAAGACTAATAAATTTGTACATCATGTGACATATTTGAAAAAAACCCAGGCGGTGATCGGTTAGCAATCCTCCCAAAAAAATATCTCCCCAAAAATCAATTATAACAATCTTATGTTTAGAAATTTCGTTACTTATATAATACTAATTTTTTTGTAATTAGAAATTTGAAGAATTGAAAGTAAATAAATAATTCAAAATAAAATAAATAATAAAATTAAAATAAAATAAAAATTTAAAAAGGTAAAAAAAAAACCTAAGAAAGGGGTCTAAAAGGTGGTCAGAACCCTTAGAAAAAATTTTTTTTATATAGAAATATTCTTTTACATATTAGAAAAATTTTTTGGATGTTAATAAAAAACTGAAGTAGTTATGTAGATTTATTTAATATTTGACTAAGAATTTAATTTTTGTATAATACTGAACATACAGTAATTTATATTTACAATATTTACAATACAATAATGTGAGGCATATTTACAATACGATTAAATTAAAATGATATATTAAAATAAATGTTGCAGTATTATAGAATTTATGGTTTATTTATATGTTTGCAGACTCATCACAAAATCAATTCTGAATAATTAATTGTTACAAAAAAAAAAATAAATTCTCATCACCAAGAATACCATCATACGAATGTATTATTATAGAAGATTACATCATAATAATCTATTTAAAAAAAATTTATATAAAAAAAATTTCCATTATCAAATCTATTATTACAAAAAAAAAATTCTTATCACCAAAGCCTATTGTAAAAAAATTGATAGAACTATTACTTAATAGTATTAGAATGATGCCAGTTACCAGGAAGCAAAAAAAAAGTAAATTTTTTTTAACCGGGAACTTACCGAACATAAAGAAAGGGCAAAGTCCGATCTATTGTTGGAAAAAAAATTTAATGAAAAAAAAAAATTAAAAAAAATTAAAAAAAAATTACTAAATGAGAAAAATTCTGAATTGTAAAAAAAAAAAACTAAACAAAAGAAAGGCCAAAAGTTCGATCTATTGTTACAAAAAAAAAAAAATTCTGAAGTTAATGTATTACGGTTAATAAAAAATAAAAATAAATACTAATCGTAAAAAGAAGAGTAATATTGTTTTTAAAAATTTTATAATTTATTAACTTTAATTACTTGTTAATATTAGCAAAACTTCAATTACTGGAAACTAAAAAAGTAATCAAACATGGATTTGCTGATCAACTACTATATGAATACGGAATAGTTCAGGCGCAGACAAATCATGTGTTAGACAATTCAAAATTATTTATACAGGCTCTAACATAATATGGAATAGATTAGGCGTGTTTCATATTACACAATTCAAATTATTTATATACGGTAATCTAAACATGACCAAATTTTTTTAGTTATATAGATATTTAATATTATATTTCTTTTTAAGAGTTAAGTTTGTTAAGGAAATAAGGAAATTGCTAGTAAATAAACTGATGCTATCCTATCCTTATATAGTAAATAATAAAAAGATTCTTATATAGAAAAAAATTCTAATAGGAAAGTAAATGATGAACCTATAGAGACAAAAGAATTAATAAAGGAAAATTTTTTAAGTTCCATCTAGGAGAATTTTAAATACCTATGGAAAAGATTTATAAAGATCTATGACAATTATGAGATTATTTGATATAGATGCATAAACAAATTGAACAATTCATGACTAACTTATTTATTATTATATAATTTCATGCAATTAATTAATAAAAATTAAAAAAACCCAATAATTAAATATTTTAAAAAAAAATTAAAATACATGCATTAATCCACCTGCTATTATTTATGCTTCCAATTATGTTTCAGATTAATCATACATTAAATATTTAATTTTTATGCTTCTAATAATTAAATCATATCCACTTGCTTTTTCCAATTTTCCCATAATCCTTTCTGGTTTAAGGTTATAACTTGATTTCTTGATACCACATAATTTCATTTAAAATTTTTTTTGCATATATTGCAATCTAGTGAGAAAAACCAAATTTTGTTTTCACTATACATATTTTGTCATTGGTATGTTTTACAGGTCACTGGATTATTAAAATTTTCAAATCTCCTTTGATATTTCATGCAACAACTATCACAAATTTTATCATTTACCATACCATTCATCTCTTTAATTCTTTTTTTACATTCAGGACATTCTTTTTTGCTACTATAAAATCTATTGCTCCTTTTTTGATAACATTCATGACATTCTCCTAGTCTAACAGACTTTTTCTTATAACAATGGATACATCCTCCTTCTTTCTTTTTTACTAGTTCTGAAAATGCTGGTGAATTCTTTTTCGTTAGTTTGTCTAAGGATGCTGATGGTATCTCCTTCTTTTTTTGATAACATTCATAGCATTCCCCAAGTTTAACAGGTTTTTTCTGATGACAATGAACGCATTCTCCAGTAGATATATTTTTAATACTTTCATTCTTTTCCATTTGTTCAGAAGATGCTAGTGAATTCTTCTTTTTTTGATAACATTCATAACATTCTCCTAGTTTAACAGGTCTTTTCTGATGACAATGGATGCATTCTTCAGTAGGTATATTTTCAATCCTTTCATTCTTTTTGTTTAATTCTAAAGATGTTGATGGTATCTCCTTCTTTTTTTGATAACATTCATAACATTCTCCAAGTCTAACAGGTTTTTTCTGATGACAATGGATGCATTCTTCAGTAGATATATTCTTTTCCATTTGTTTAAAAGATGCAAAATTCTGAAGATGTCGCTTGCCTAGGATATGAGGATTTAGGAAATGAGAATATAACAATCCTTATGAATTTAAAAAATTCTTTTTTTTTTTTTTTTTAGAATTTAAAAAATTAAGAATTTTTTTTTTTTTTAGAATTTTTTAACCAATGACAAATGATTCCTATTTATACTTTTATTCTTTACAGATTTGCAAAAATTTCAAATTATTTTCCAACATTATATATTTGAAAAAAATTATTTGAAACATTTTGCATTATAAAGAATTTCTTTTAACTGTTACATATTTAATGTTTTTAATTTTATATAAATCTGCCATAGAATTAAAATAATAATTTGTTTGACACACTTTTTGGAAATTTTCATTGTAAAAATTATACTTACATATCATTGAAACCATTAATAAAATCTTCCTAACACTATAGGATCATAATTAAATTTTAAATTTTTAGACTATTTCACTTGAAAATTTTTGAAATACATTATTTAATTGATGTTTAAGATTGTAAATATATTATTATTATGGTAATGTATAAGAATGATTAGAAAAACCATTTAAAGAATATATTTGTTATAATTAAATTAATTGTTATTGTTAGTGGTTCACACCCATTAAATCATTTCCTAGTTAATTAGTTATATACAAAGTTTTAAAATTTTTATTAAGTCATGTGATGTATTTAATTATTAGTCATCTTTTATAATATCTTAGAAACTTGTATTATACCAATAGTCGATTAATCGATACTTTTATGGATGATAGTTTATAATCGTGTACGTGACGTTAGTCTCCATGGTTATTTCACGGATCAACCCTGATCTAATCATTCGTGATGATCAATGATTCGGAAGATTTACTTTGCACGTTGGAATATCAGAATATCATGATCTTTACAGCTGCGCCATGAAAATCAATCATCGATATCCACATGTAAATTTTTATGTTTTGAATAAATAGTTATTGTCTAACTTACTTTTTTAGCTACTTGAAATACTTCGTAATCTTTTATTACAATAGTTTCTGAAATACCTATATTAGGAAACCAATTTCCATTATTATAATTATAATTCAAATTATTGGAATTAGGAATGATGGTTCAACAATTATTGAAAATGCAGAAACGAACATTATTGACAATTCACAAAATTTCCTTGAAATTATGAATATTATGATATAAAAATTGAAGATGGTGATGTAAAATCATTGAATACTTACATATTGGTCATTTTATTAATTACCGTTCTCCTCATCTGAGAAAAAAGTTATCGACTAATATAAAAAATAATGATGGAACTTTTGGCACGCACTGAACTATCTAATATTTTATCAAAAATAATTTTAAGGTAAAAACTAATTGAATCAATGTATTATTAATTTATTTTCATCATTACATTTCCAATCTTAAAATATTGTATTTTTTATTTTTTAGATACATTTATGGCGGAAAACTTTCTTAAATAGATATTGATAATTAAATATAATTAAATTATTGGTTGCCGTTAATGAATTAAGAATTTTCTATATTCAATCCTTTTTAATTGAAATCAAAAAAAACTGGATGGAATAAATTTTTGATTTAATATATTTTTGAAAAGTTTTAAAAAACTAGAAGTATTTATTCGATAATATGCTACTATTTAGTACACGATTATTAATTATTCATTTCACCAAAAATTGTGATTGAGCGCTCTCTTGAAATTATGAATTTTCTAACATAAATAAGAATATATTAAAAATAGAAAATAGAAAATAAAAAATGAAAGATGGAAAATAGAAAATAGTCAAAAGAACATAATTTCTGGTGTCCATTTATAAGAATAATATATTATATAGAGTACATTTTTTTTATAATTGCTTTACAACTATCTGTTATTGTTAAAAAATCCAAATTCATTAAAATTTAATTTGGTATTATTTATTCCATGGACTGAAAAATAAATTATTGGTTACAAAATAAATATATAACCTTGTTATTTCAAAAAAATTTTAAATTATGTTAGTGTTAGTGTCGGCATTACGGTATATCAAAATGGCATAACTTTATGGCATTACGACACGTGATATAACCTGCAGCCGTGACGCAATCGTATTATAATTTTAACAGCGCCCTCGTTAAATAAAGATTATAAGCTTTATGACTTTATCCCCTTTGTTCAAATGTATCATGTGATAGAACAAAACAAATACGTATAAAAACTTAACAGGTTTCTTATTGTTTGTTATGTAAGCAGATTTGTAAGTAAAGGCTAAAGGCTTTTAAAACTAAGCCTTAAAACAATTTGTTCGGCATAACTAAGCCATAGGAATAAGCCTGCATATTTTTATAAAAAATATCAACTTATTATTGATTTTTATTCTAAATTTATTATAATTTATTTTAATTTATCATCAATAATATGTATCTTATTCCTGATTTTCAACAAGAATTTAAATGAATTAATATAGTAAAATAAGAGGCTTTTAAGGAAGTTTACTTATGTGGCTTTAATGTCAGTAATATTTATTTCAATTCTGGTTTGCAATATTATAAAGATAATTTCAGCCAAACTCTAATAATTGAAAATATAATTAGTAAAGGTACAAATTATTATTTAATTTTTTCATCGTAAAACTTTATTGTTATTGGAATATATTTTAATAATGACTATGTAACTTTGAGTGTAACCGATAATTAGTTTCATCCTAATTAATGTATAGTACAAATCATTTATTATAAAAAAAAAATAATATATGTATATATTTACTTTCATTCTTTAATATATCTCTACATTACTATATAATTTTAACAAACTTGTAGTTTTTTTGATTTTCAAATGGGTTGAAAATTGTGTGGTTGTGACTAAAGCTTTGATATTATTTATACCCGGGTTGAAATTGTGTGGCTGTGACTTAGGCTTTGACATTATACTCGGATTGTAATTGTGTGGCTGTGACTTAGGCTTTGACATTATACTCGGATTGAAATTTTGTGGCTGTGACTTAGGCTTTGATATTATACCCAGGTTGAAATTTTGCGGCTGTGATTTAGGCTTTGATATTATCATGTTGCAAAATTCTGATTTAAAAAATAAATAAATAGGTTCAAAATATATTAATTTGATCATCTTTATTTCCTTTTTTCTACTTAATAAATGGAGAATATTTTTTACAATTATACTACATATGAATATTAAATAAATTACCTATGTTTAAATTATTCAAGTTTAGAATAGCTAGTTTCAACAATACGAAGAGAAAAACCATAAACTGATATTTACCAAAAAATCCATATCTTGTCAATAAACAATAAAACAATTATGGACATACAAATGATAATAACAAGGAGTATGCATAAAAGGACAATTCAGGATCATTCCTACCGTCCAAACCATATGCTTATTTCACCTTTGTCAATGATTGACACCAAGGCTTCAGCTGTGGAATTTTCTTGCTCCTTTCCGCAACATTTGTCCTTACCTGGCACGAAGGCAAAGATAAATTTAAATTTTACATTATATATAGTTTAAACATTAATTGCATAAAAATAATTCTTTAATAGAAATATTACAACAATATAATAATGAAAGTATCAGTAGCAATTGGATTTATTATTAATAAGCAAATTTATAAAATAGCATATCTATTAAAGCACATTTCTTAATTTTATAATACTCATTCAGGGTAAATCTAGTATTACTTAATATCCATATTCAATCATTTAAATAGTATTAATGATGAATACATAATACAATTCTGATCAGAAATAGTCTAATCAATCTGATACTCAAACATCCAATTATTAAAAAATTTTTACAAAAACAATTATACGAGTAAAAACTAGAAAAATGATCATTCATTGGAGTTTTTTCCAGATTTTTTTTTATAGGGTAATACTATTGTATACTGTATATCCAATGCAGTTCTTAAATATTATCAAATATAATTATTATAAAGATATTAGAATAATAAAGTTCGATTGTTGAAATCATGTAAAATTAGACTTGTTTGTAATTTGTAATTTTTGTGCAAATCTTTTATTAATAAAGAATTTTTTAACGAATACCAAGTAAAATGCTTCTGTTAGTTATTACTCTGTTTAAGTAAAATTTGTTGAAAATTTTTACACAATATTTTACTCAAATAGTAACTCCTTTATTGTTACAATTTCTATGAAAAGTCTCACCATCAAATCCATCTCTGCTTGAACGACAAATTCATAGGTGCGTGCTATACATTTAATTGTGAATTAAATCTCGTGGCAAGATGTATGTCCTTATAAACGAGCAATCTGAGTACGGTATAGTAAAATTAAGCATATTTGTAATGACGTCATGGTCATTTAATAAAGAACATACATTAATAAATGGTGTACGAATTAAAATTCGATATAAAAAGGTTTTCTTATCAATCCGATCACTGTTCCTAACCTAAAGAACAAAAGAACAAAAAAACAAAAGGAAAAAGAAAAAGTAAAAAAATTTTAAAATTGATAAAATTGATTAAAAATCCGGTTTAAAAAACTGTGAAAGGAGAAAAGTATTATTGAACCGGAAGGAAGAGAAAAAAAATAATAAATCCGGTTTAACCGTTAAAAAATTTCGTTTTATAGGTTTAACCATTTTAAAAAGGAAAAACCGAAGGGAAAAAATTCAAAAAATTTATTTTTTACTGTATCGTTTCGAAATGATAATGATAGAACGGCCGAAAAAGAATATGATTAATAATTTTATCATTCCCTATAAAAATTCTATCTGTTATTTCTGTAAAAACTCGACTTTTTTTGTTTTGAAATGATAAATATAATATATAAATTTTATACGGTTCTAAAGATCCTATATAATATTATAATGGTTCCAATTATTTAGTTATTATCTAACACTGGCAGTAATACTTGTAAATTTCTCAATTTGCAATTTTAAATTAATTCGTTATTTGAAAATTGCTAAGCTCACCGGCGGTGATGATCACCATACCAGCATTATGATGTACTTTCGACCAGAATTAAA